GGCCCCATGGGGTGGAAGGGGATGGAGGCACTGCCTATACTCCCCCTGCCCACCTGTGGCAGCCAGAGCTGCCCTCCAGCCCCCTACCAGGGAAGCCAGGGGGGGGTCCAGCCTCATGCTCCCCATTCCCATCCCCTGTCCGCTCAAGGCCCACCGGAGTCCACCCCACTAACCAGGACCAGCAGGTGCAGATGCCATGCGCAGGCTCCAGCAGTGGAAAAATGGGGTGCCCCAGACCTACCTGCCCAGGATCAGCCACCCCCTCTGCTCCGCTCTGCTCCGGCCCCTGGGCTCTGGCAGCAGCTCCAGCCCCTCCAGGTGCCTCCTTTTAACCAGGTGCGGCAGGGCAGGGCACCTGCAGCCCACAGGCCCTCCTTAACCCTTCCCTGCCCACTACCCTGCCTCCCTCCCCCTTTCTGCCCAGCCTCCCCACTGCCCTTTCTATTGCTTTCTCCTTCACACCTGGGCCCAAGCCTCTGGACAGGTTTCCCTTGGGCTGTTCTGCCGCAGCCAGCGTTCCACCCCAGAGGCAGCTGCATTCCAGCCGAGGACAAACTAGTCCCCTTCCTTCCCCCTGGCCCTTGGAGAGGCTGAGAAGGGGACACAGCAGTGCCTTGGGGAGGCGGCAGGGAATCCGCAATCCCCCCCCCAGTCAGATGTGTAGCTGGGGGACGCCAGCAGCCGCCCGATGGTCCCGGCTGGCAGGGACGAGACCATGTGGGATCCAGCTGCAGTTTGGCTCTCGATCCCAGTGAGGTCACTGGCCGCCCTGGTGCAATGAAGGGCCCCACTGCAGATCGGCGGCGAGTCCCCTGCTGGGACTGGGGCAGGGGCAGGGATGTGGGGGATATTGCTCCCTCCCTCCTGCTCGGCCACCCTGTCTTCACAGGCGCGTGCATGTGGATCCTAACCTAGCCCTCTACGTCCTGCCATGTCTGGGCTGCACGGCAGCCTGGCACCTCGCAGCTCATACATAGCCCCTCTCGCGGCTCCAGGGGCAGCAGCGGGTCCAGGACACGGAGGGGCTTGGGGCTCACTTCAGAGGGGCACGGCGCTGAGTGCAGGGAGACCTTTGGGTATCACTCTTCTTGCCTTACTGTGGCTCAGTTTCCCCCGTATAAACCCACACGGCCCAGACCCGCCAAGTCTCATTCTAGCCCCCAGCTCCCACCCTTGGGAGGGGATGTCCCAGTCCAGACAGCACCACTGGGATGGACCCATCTACCCCCCTCACGGGCACCTGCCAGCCCCACAGCCCAGCCAGAGCCGTGGAGGGCCCAGTGCACTGCCCAGCCGGCTGCAACACTGCAGTGTTGGCTGGAGCCTGAATCCAGGGGCTGTCCTGGGAGGGGGCATTTCTAGCCATGGCAAGGCTGAACCCAGCCCCTTTCCATCAGATCAGTGCATGGCCGTGGGTAAACCCGGCGGGCTGCATGGCACAGCCCCTCTGTGTAGCATCCAACGGGCTCCGGGCCTTGGTGGGGGGGCTGGGATTTTGCAGAGGGTGGTGGTGCAGGGGGGGCGGATACGCATCGGGTCTCAATTAATGGCAGCTGTTGCTTTGTGAAATACCAACCCCCATGGCGGAGGCTGCTGTTGCTGCACGGAGAGGGGGCTTGGCTGGGGTGGAAACCCCCCCTGCAAACTGCAACCGGCTGCTTTGCTGCAGCCTCCCAGGCACAAAACCTGCAGGCGCTAAGGCAGCAACCGGCTTCACCAGTTAGCCGGGAGGGGTGCCGTCCAGGCCGCCAGGGGCTTCAGGGGGGAGTGCTGATGTTTGTGACCCCGTTTAGAGCAGGCTTCCAGGCTGGGATGGGGTCGGGGGGAGGCAGACGGCAGGTCTTGCCTGCGGAGCTGCACAGGGCACCGTTGCGGAGGCATCAGGCAGGTGCTCCCTGGCCAGCTGGATCCGTCCAGGCCAGGTTGGCCAGCGCGTGCGCACGGCAAGGGGCACGTTAATATGGATGGAGGGGCAGGACACCTGGGTTTGGTTCCCAGCTCTCCGTGGAGGGTGCCAGCAGCTCAGACGGCAATCGCAAGAAGCTGGCAGGGGAGCAGGGCTGGATCCTTCCCACCCAGTTTGCCAGCGGCCCCTTTAGCAGCCCCAGATCTTGGCCAGAGCGGTGCTGAGCTGTGGGACCGGCTGCCCGGGGCTGAGTGTACCTTGCGGGGAGCCAACACACGGGCAAGACTTCAGGGCTCCAGGGGGTCGCCTCTCTGGCTGTGGGTCTGTCCCCTGCTCGACAGGCCACTCCAGAAGCCACTCCAGAAGTCCCTGGGTTGCTTTGGGCCTCGCGTCCGTCGTGCCCTGACATGATGCCACGGGGCTTTGCCATGAGCGAGGACCGGCGCACGCGAGCACTCGTATCCACCTACACAAACACGCACGCAGCCTCTGACCCAGCCGGCAGCAGCTGCAGACAGACGGCTGCCTTTGCAAAGTGTCTGGGGCTTTGCCTTGCTGCCCCGCTCCTCCCACCCATGTTCTGGGCTGTTGTTTTAACCTAATCTCTGCCCCGGTCACGGCTTCGACAGCCGGGAGCTTGGTGGCAACACGTGGCTCCCGAATTGCTCCTCATGGGGCGGCTCTTCTTCCTCCAAAGCAGCCGCAGCCCCGCTCAGGAGAGGGAACCATGCACCGCCGGAGGGACAGCTGCCTTTGATCTCCGTGGCCCGCTACGCCAGAGGGACTGCACGTGATGGGACCCACGGGGTGGCACGGGCCCGTAGGTTTGGTCCGAGCACGGCACAGACATTCCCATCTGACGTTATCCTCAGGCAGTTCAGTGGGTTTCAGCCAACGTCCCAGAGGGCAAGAGCCCACAAAGAGCCCTGCCTCCTGCCCCTTGACCCGCTTGGCTGGCAATCCCCGGGGGAGAAGCCAAGGGAGAAGCCAAGGTCATTAAGGAGGTGGGCGGACGAGTCTGCGGGTCGCTCTCTGCCTCTCGTCCCCGGGGCCGTCCTTCAAACCAGAAGCAAACGGCGGGGGGCGACATTTTGGGGAGAGGCCAGCCACGGAAAGCTCTGTGTCTCTGCCCGGCTGGAGTCCTGCAGCCAAGATTGAAGGTCTCTTTCTAAAAGATACCCTCCAGCGCAACCACAAATTGCCAGGAATTACCGGTTGAAAATCTCCAGCCCAGGCTAGGTAGGAGGTCAGATCCGTCGAGCCCCTCCGGGACTCCGGCTCTAGGCCTCTGCGGCCGCCTCCAGCCCGTTAGACTCGACCGGAAGGAAAACGAAGATGCTTGACTCGTTTTATTCTTTTTTTTTTTTAATGATAACCCAAAATGTACCATAGCCATAAAATGCCTCTACCAGTCTGGGATGGGAGAGGCCCATGTTACGCTGCGCGGTTCTAACCGAAGGGGACACAACCATACAAAAACAGAAAATAGGGGATTTTTAATATATATATATATATATATATTTATATATATATCCTATTTATATAAAGGCAAAAGTTCCCGGATTGCACGGTGTCGGAGATGACGCGCTATGTACACAGCGGCGCAGGGGAAGTACAAAATAAATACAGGGAAGGGGGGGAGGCAGGTGTAGCAAGAAGCTGTGGGGCCAGTGTCCGGTTCGAACAGCTGGGAGGTCCACGCGGTGCTCAGCGATGAGGAGGGCAAGGCCCCGCTGTGCAGGAGAGAAGGGGCCCTGCCCCAAAAGCAGGGCCGGGGAAGCCCTGGCAGTGGCATGGCCCGGGAGATAAGCCTTGCCCGCCGGTGCCTGGGGCAACCCTCCCAACTCCCTTGTTCCTGGGGTTGATGCATGCAGCGCTCGGCAGCCGGAGCGGGGCAAGGGTGGTACGTGGGGAATACGGTCTGGGAGTGGATTGGCTTTGCAGCCTAGCCAGGGGCTGCTGCGGCTTTCTAGCCCCTGGCAAGGAGGTGTTTGGAGCAACATGGAGTGACGGCAGAGCCCGGGCCAAGCCCCTTCTAGGTGTCATGTGCCGGAGGGGGTGTGATGGGCTTTGAGAGAGCGCAGAGTCGGAGCTCGTGTGAAGCACGCCACTAGCTACCAGCCAAGGGAGCCCAGCGGTTTGATGCCCCGCTCCCTGCCCACCAGGGCAAAAGTGCCACCCTGACTTTGGTCACCGTGCTCTGGACAAGCATCGGCAGCCACAGTGGTGCGGACCAGCTGTGTCCACGGACAGTCGCTGCCAAAAAAGAGGCCTGAACTAATCCCCTGATCCACGCACCATGGACCCCAGGCTCCGAAGTCAGATGGAGGAGATGGTGCAATGCGCTCAGCATGGGGCTCTGTCACCCCCCGCCCCAGCCGGGCGGTGGGACATCCACAGCAGCGATGAGCCTGCTGCAGCCTAGAGGGGGATCTCAGCTCAAGCAACAAAGGCTCCTGTATTTAGCCCCACGGCTCCCAGGCTCCTTGCCTAGCTGACCACCCAAGCCAGTGTGCCTGGTTGCACCCACCCTGCACAATGCAGAGGCCTGGACAGCGCGCGAAGCTGGGTCCCCTCCCCGTTTTATACTCTCTGCTTGCAAACCCAGCTCCAGCAAGGCTCGGAAACGTGGGTCACCCTCCCTCCCATCAGCCACCTGCTCCAAGGGGAGGGGAGCACTGCACGTCCCCCCACGCACTGAGCTGCAGGCAGGAAGTGTCTGCGGACATGGCACTAAGAGGGAAGACAAGTGAATAAATAAGCCCAGGTCTGTCATCTAGGGGCGAATGTACAGCGTGGGCCCGACTGGTGGTGGCAGCAAGCGTAGAAATGCCCCCATCCTGCTCCAAGTCCCCAGCAAAGAGGACCGATGGGACCAGACTGGGCCCACCTGGCCGCTCCTCTCTGCTCTCCATGGGGAGCAGAGCATAAATTAAAGCAACCCTGAGGCTGCTCTAACTTACGCCGAGGTCCGAGCTGCCTCAGCACCGATGGGGAGACCCCCCCACCCCATGCCCTCCCACCTTGACACCCCGATGGCAGGAACGGAGCCACTGAGAGCTGGGGGCGCGCATCGGCATAACATAAACAGCTATAAATAAGGATCTTTTATCTTAATAAATATCGGGTATATGGTTCGTACAATATACACATAATGCCCCTAGCTCCCGGGTTCAGCCTCTCGGCGCACAAGGAAGGTTTCACACGTAGTTTTCTTCAGCATCGTCCTCATCCGGGGAGTATTTAGGCACAGCTGGAAATGGAGCCAGAGAAGAGAGTAAGATGCTGGGAAGCACCGAGCCATGCTGTGGGCACGGGTGGCTCCAGGGACTGGGGACAGCCCTGGGGGTCACTGGTATACCATGGGGCAGAAGAGGAGCCACAAGTCACCACCACCCATGCTGGGGCTGGTTTTCCCCCAGGCCATGACGCTCCCGTTTTATACAGCGGCTGAGCTCCCGTATCCCCCAGGCTCATGGGAGATGCTGGTTTGATGCCAACCCTTCGCCGCTAGCATGAAGAGCGGGCCTGGAAATGCTGCTGTGATGGCACCCGAGCTCTGGTGGGAACAGGCCCATTGCTCTGGCATGACATCCCCACCTCCCCAGGCTCAGCGAGAAGCAGAAATTGTGCTGGGCCAGCACTAAAATGAGAGGAGCAAAGAGACTGGGAACCATTTATGACCCCCGACAGTGCTGGCTCCGCTGTATCTCAATGCAAGGCCAGGTGCCATGGAAGGACCCACTACGAATTGACCCCCCAGCCAGGACCCCACCCGTCCCGGCAGAGACGGGCGACTCACCCAAGCAGCTTCCGTAGTGGCGGACGCCGATGGATCTGCCCAGGAAGCAGGTCGCCCGCCGCAGGTGGCAGGCGGACGGGTAGGTGACGTTGTTGTTGCCGCACAGCGCGCGGTCCAGGCTGGTGGGCTCGGGGCAGGGGGCCGCCCGGCACATCACGCAGTGGGCGCTGCCCGTCTGGTCCACCACGCAGGTGTGGGTCCCGGGACACACCACGCTGGAGCAGGACTCTGCAGGAGCAATCAGAGGCAGCCGATCACCCGGGAGGTCCGTCCTCGGGAGGTGACGGAGCCGCTGGCACATCCAGAGGGGCAGCCTGGGCCAACCTCTGCTCTCAGGGTGAAGCTGGGAGAGCCAGCTCTACACCGGAGTAACCAACACCCTAGGAATAAACTGCTTCCCCTCTTCCTTTCCCCCACGCAACCCAGGACACAGCCTATATTGCTACTGCCTCTCTTTGCCTGCAGCAGGCAGAGGACTAGGATGGGGGTCAGATCGGTGTTTCTCAACCCTTTTAGACTCCAGAGCTCCCCTGGTTAGACTCCAGGACCCTCTTAGGAAACGCTGTTACCCAGCACAGCTGAGGGCAGGTGCCCTGAAAGCAGCTGGGAGCTCCAATATGCAGGCTGGGATGGGAAGGCATCAGCACGGCAATGCCAGGCCTCCAGCTTGAGACAGAGGAGGGCACTACATTGGGATCCGGGGGCATCAGCTGTGCTGCGTAAGGATTTGGAGAGCAGGGAAAGCGGCCAGCCAGACCTGAGCTCGGCTTGGCCCTGAAGGCGCCCAGAGCTACAGCAGCCGGAGGTGCATGGAGCACTCCCATGCCCTGCCACTGCCATTGCAATGCTCCGGTCCCTTGACCCAAGCCATGCAATCCCCACCAGGTTTAATCAGCAAGTGCAAGGCGCGGACCAAGCCAAGCTGGAGCTGCACCTCCAGATGAAGGCAGAGGGCTGGGCTCTTCCTTGACGGGTCACGGGGCTGCTGGCCCGGCCGACACACATAGCCAGGGTGAATTTCTGCACGGACAACCCGCCCGCAGCCTCCGTATTCGCACAGGCAGACAGGGGCACGGCAGGCGTGCGTCATCGCTGCCGGGTTGTTATAAACAGTCTTCTGCTGGGGTTTACAAACTCCAGCTCCTTTGTGCGCTGGGTGGGGAGGTGGCTCCGCGCACAAATTCCCAGCTCAGATTTCTGCCCCCGGATTGGACTCCGGAGGGGGCCCTGACAGGCAGGAATGTCAGACACGGGGGCTGGCAAAGCGAAGCCTAATGCCGCTGACAGCTCTTGGCAGGGGTGCCGTGTTTTGCTGGTCTGCTTTTTTTTTTTTTTAAATGCTGCTTCTAAGTGACCTTTCACGAGCTGTTATTCTTCAAGCCAGGGGGTACGTAAGACCCACCGGACACTGGCAAGTATCCGAAGCTGCTACCGTACTATAAAATAGCAGACGTCCCATCCATTCTGCGCATCCTATGCTGGTAAATACAGAGTTCAGAGATGCTTAAAGACCCCTCCATGGCTTCGGTCAGCCTGCGGCCTGATGCCCCGTGACCTCACCGCCACTCCTGTCATTTTTTGAGGACACGGATGTTTTTGCCTTGCTTTGCTGCCATCCGAATGGAAAAGGCACGGGGCAAAGGAGGCTTGAGCTTATGTCCTAGGCATTGCAGGCTGTCTGGGGTCAATACTATACCCTATGCAATGCCCAATGGTGTCCAAAGAGATATGTTGCCGTGCTCTGGTGAAGACCCGCCTCGCCTCACCCCAGAGCTGGCTGCATCTCCAGGATGGATAGTACAGCCATATCTCAGTATCCAGATCTCTCTGGGATGCTTTGAGTTGAAAGAAGCCCGCAGCCTGCCAGCCCATCTCAGCCTGGGGGAACTCACCCGACACCCAGAAACCCATCTGGGTTTGTCCTTTAGTCCTCAACCCCCAGCTTGCAGCGTAGCACCCCTGAGGCCGGTTCCCCGATGAGAGCAGACAGCAGGAGCCCAGGGAGCTCCCCCCCAACCTTGTCTCTTTGTCTTTCTCCAGCAGAAATCTGAACTTAACAGGCAACTTTCTTCCTTCTTCATCCCTCCCCTCCTCCCCTGTCTCTGGAGCCGCGTCTGATGGAGCACAGCTGGTATACATGATCAGTGCTCCCAACTGCAGCCACTCGCACCAGCTGGGGACCTGCTCCCCTGATCTGGGAGGCTCTGCACACTCCCACCCCAAGCTCAATCCTCAGCTTATCTGCACTCGCACTCCTGTAATTGTGATGCTGCTGCCAGGAGAGCAAGAGAGAAGCCACGAGGGCATCATTTCAGCAGTTACTCCACTGAGGGCTGAAAGCCTTGGGGTTAGAGCCTGTCACCTTGATCTATGCTGGACAAAGCAAGCCCAGCGGGAACACGCTTTGCACACAGAGGAGTACCAGCAGGCTGCTCAGTGTCACACGCGTCTGGCTTTTACCAGCCACTTGGGAGGTCCACGGAGGCTGCCAGAGACCTACAGGCCTGCTGCTTCTCTCCGGCTCTCCTCCTGGCTTGCTCACAGCTCAGGGACCCCCAGGTCTGGGCACCAGGGATTGCACTAGTGGGCATATCTAGTGCATATATAGCTGCCCCGGTGGAAGGGGTTGGCTGCTCGGTAGGCAAGCAGGGAATTCCCAGCATGAGAGGAGCCGGGCGCCAGGCGCCGGCACGGACTCACATGCCCCGATCGGGGAAGGCACCGTGCCCCAGAGCTTGGAGGGTGCCACAAAAAGGGTGTGTTGGGAGAGCCCGGGCGCCCCACGTACTTTTGCATTTTCCCTGGTACATCACTTCCAGGTCAGGGTGGTCTCTGCACTTGGCCGTCAGCAGCTCGCACTCGTCCCGGTAGGTGTAGCCGTCGGAGCCGCACACCTGCAGCTTCCTGGGCAGGCGGGAGCAGTCGGGGGCGCAGGTGCACTGGGGGCGGCCGTGCTTCATCTTGCAGACCTTGTCGGGACCACACACCACCCCCTCGCAGGACTCTGGGGACGAGAGAGGGGTCACTCCCATGCTAGCAAGGCTCCTCCAGGCAGCTCGTGATGGCCCCCACCAACCAAGCTGGAGGCTGGCCCGCTGGGCCAGGACGGATCTGGCTATAGGGGCCACGCTGGTCCGTCTCTGCCGGGCAGTCACAGCACTGAGGGCAACCCCGGCTGACCTCCCAGACACCGCCCAGCACAGCGCACCAAGGTGCAAATGATGTCCCCTGTGCAAACCATGTCCCCTGAGGCCCATCCTGCTTGAGGCTGCCAACTGCACCAGCCGCACAGCTGGCCCCATCCTCCAAAGGCCAGCGGGCTTCCTTTCCTTCTCATGCAATGGAAAATCCTCAGCAGCCAGCGCCCGGGACCCTCCCACCCGCCTGGCCTTTGCGATCAACACGTCCCCTCCGTCAGACAATGCCGGGGCCTGTTCTGCAGCAGGACTCCGTGACTTGGGGCCGGAGCTCGCGGAGACCCCGTCTGGGCCGCCCGGGGGGGCCGGGGCGGGGGGAGGCAGAGACAGACAGCGGCATTGTCGCGTGGGGTCGCACCCCGGCAGGCGTCTGTCTGGGTTCAAAGGGCCCCTTGAGCGGGTGTGCGTGCGTGACGGGCGGTGGAATTTCCCCCGAGCGGGGGAGAGCGCTGGGAACCCGGCTGGGCTGGGAACCAAGCCTGGCGCGGGTCGCGGGCTGGCTACCACCGTGGGAGGGCTTGGGAGATGGGGGCCACTGGGTGGGAGAGAAACCCCCTGGCAGAAGACCAACCGCTGACCCTGTCTGATCCCGGAGGGGATGCGGAAGCATCTGTATCACAGCTGGAGCTGGGGCTGGCGTGGTGGGTTCCTGGATCTGTTCTGGGGGGGCGTGGGGCATCCCCGTGCCCCAGGCACCAGGCGGGATGGTCCCAGAAGGGTCTGTGCCAGGGCTTGCTTGCAGGCAGGGGGAAGAGGCAAGCCTAGGGGGGCTCTGCCCGCACCCCATTCATTGCACCGCTGACTCGTGGCCTCGGCACGTGTCCCGCAGGAACTGGAGGCACGTGTCCCCGCTCGTCTCCCCAAGCCCCAGGGCTTTGACCTGGCTGTGGAGTGGAGCAGCATGCGTCATGCCCGTAGCTGAGGCCCGTCATAGCCTGGAGTAACCTCTTCCCAGCAGGAACCAGAGCACAAGAGAGGTCATCTCTGCTGCTCTTTGCCAAGGCCTCTGGCTCACGCCCCAGGGGCCCGGGGAGTACATGGCACTAGCACTGCCTGAATGGGGTGGAGGGGGGCGGTTGTTCCCCCTCTGGCTTTAGGTTGGTCCTGATCCCCACTCTGAGACCCCCCCCACCCCACTGGAGACAGCTGGACGCAGGGCACCATGCAAAGGTCCAGCAGATCTTTGATGGGAACCAGCTGATGCCGTGGCCAAGGCTGGGCTGGTCCTGAGCCCTCAGCTGATCTGTGCTCCAGTCCCTGCCCCATGGCAGGAGCCTAGGCCATTTGGGCCAGTTTGGCCATAGGCAGCTGGGTTGTTCACGGCTCCAAGCGGGAGACGTTGGCTTCTCTTGCGGCATCAGGCTCCGGCCGCGCACCCAAGTCTTTCATCAGCCTGCAGCCAGCCCTCTTTCCTCCCGTAGCCTCTGGGCGCTGATCTGCCTCCGAGCCTGGCTCAGTACTTCCGATCCCTGCCATCACGCCTGTCCTAGCAAGAACGGCCCCGAGGCCTGATCCTGCATGGCACTGAGTTCCCAGGCCTCTGCTGCTTTCCCTTGTCTCTTCCCCGTTGCTGCTCACTACTCGGCACCAAGCTATGCCGGTGCTCTGGGGATCAGGACCAGGCTCCAGCTCCTAATCCTCCAGCCCGGCCTGGTCTCTATTAGGGCTCTGAAGTCAGGAGGGTAGGATTGGCTCCCACCCCACTCCTCCCCTCCAAGCTGTTGCGTTGTTTTGACTCCTCTGCCCTTCCGGGAAGCTTTTCAAGGCTGCGTTAGAGCCCGGGAGACTGCGGGGTCTGGGCTGGAGCTGAAGGGCAGCGCAGGGAGCCTGGCGGTCTGTGAATTGGCTCCTGTTTCCTACGGCTTGACCCTCCAAGCCCGTACCCTTCCTACCGGGTCAGCAGGTCCTTGGGCCTGTCCTCACATGGCCACGCAAGCGTGGTGGGAGGACCTGAGCGGCTGGCTCCCTCCGCCACATCTGGACGGCTCAGCACACACAGCTGGAGCCTCTCCGCTCTGGGAAGGCGCCCGTTATATAAAGACACTTTTGCAAAAAATAAAAATTAAAAAGCCGTGGAGATGTTGAAAGAGGAAAGGGGAGGGGAAAATCCCCCTGGAGGGAACCTCTGGAGGGAAGGACTACCCGGGAACAGGCCCCGGGCACTCACTGGCTCCGTGCCCTCTCCGGCCGTGGGCCGTCTGGCCAAGAGTCATGCCCTATGTCTCCAGTGGGCAGGGGGAAGCCAGGGATGAACTTTCTCTCCCCCATACAGGGCTGGCACTGCATGGCAAGGGCTGGAGGGCACGGGGAGGGGGAGAAGCCCTTTGGAGCAGGTGTATGTTGGTCCCCGCGGGCAGCTCCAGGGAGCTCCAAAGCCATGTTAATTTGTGTTAGGGCCTGTTCCCTTCCTTGGTGCAATATCCAGAGGGCAGGAGGCCGACTCAGCCCCTTTCCCCTCTTGGGGTCTTGCCCTTGCTACTAGAGGGGAAGCAGCCAATGTGACTGCAGTCGCCTCGATCCCTCTGCCCTGCCGATCCCACTCCAGTCGCTCTAGGATCCGGGGTGGGGACTGAGACGGGGCTGGGAAGAAACCCCAAACCCCCAGATCCGTCCGCGACAAGCTCTGAGACAGCTGCGCTGTGTAATACGGATCATTTCAGACTCCCTTCTGCACCCATGCTGCCTGGCACGGTCCAGGTCTCCTAGGATGGTAGACGTCTCGCACAGGGATTCCTGCCCGGCCAGGCCAACCTCTCCCGAGAACCTGCCACGGTCAAATCTGAACCCAAACCTCCAAGCCCAGGAGCTGCTTGGGGCCCAGAGGCTGCAGAGGCTCTGAGCAGCACATGGGGTCCTGGTCCCCCCCCCACCCGGTCCTGCTTCAGCTGCTCCATGCCACCTGGGGACCATCCCTGCCCAAATCCCCCTCCCTGCTCTGTGCCTGTCTCATCACTCTGCAACCCCCTCCAATGTACTCTGCCTAATCGCTGGACTCGGGCAGTGGGGTGGTAGAGACATAGCCGATGGGGGTGTTGGCTGCTGCCCAGGCTGGGGATGGGGATTGGGCTGTGCCAGTGCTCCTGCTGGGACTTCGATGTCTTTTGAGAGATGTCTATTCTCCCTAACCTCTGCCTTGCTGGGACTTCAAGCCGGAGATTCCTGGCTAGAGGGTCTTGTCCCTCCACTCAGGGTCAGACCGATCGCTGCATTGGGGTCAGGAAGGAGTTTTACCCCTGGGTCAGACTGGTATGGACTGAGGGGATTTTTGCCTTCCTCTGCAGCGGGGCTCTAGTCTCTGTCTGCGATCTTTTAAGCCTCTATTAACAACCTTTTACAGCAGCAGGACGTTGCCCACCGCGGTCCCCCTACTTCACCTGTGTCAGGTTCGGGTGTGACGTCTTGTGTAGTGTCAGGTTTAACAACAGCTTTAGTAAGAGGTTAGATGATGGATTTGTCTGGGATGGCTGGAGAGGGCTGATCCTGCCTTAGGCAGGGGTTTGGACGAGATGTGACCCCTTTCAGCCCATGAGTCTATGATACCGGGCTAATGCAAATAGGCATCGAGCAAGCACATGATGCCAGGGTCTGGGGGCATTACAGGCCCTTGCTGGGATCAGTGCCACCGGGTCCATGCATCCTATCAGCTGGCGCCTGTACCTTTGCACGGATGGCAGGTCACAAGTCCCAGGAAGCCCAGGAGGCTGATCTTGTTGCCCGGGTAGGTGTAGTTGGACCAGGCCACGTCCACGTTGCCATTGCTGCAGCACTCCTCCCAGGTCACGCCCGTCCGGAGGATCATGGTGCATTTGGCTTCCCTCCCCTGCTGCAGCCAGCAGATCCCCTCTGTGTGGAGGAAGCAGGACGTGAGAACCGGGCTCAGGAGCCGGCGGCTTTGAGACGCAGCAAGGGTTAAGCGCCAGGAAGCCAATGCAAAACTAAAACAAGGTCTTTGGACACATGCCGCCCTGTGCACCCCTGACGCTGCCCTGTGTGCAGGGCTTTGCATAAAGGCATGGATCCTGCAAGCTGCCCCAGCTTGGGCAACGGGGCTCTTTCAAGCGTATAGCCTGGGTTTGCAAGTGCCCAGTTGTCTGCAAACTACAGCATTTAAGAGAGACACCCCCCCCCCCCCACGC